AAACCTCAACGGGCTCGCCCACCACCCCCCATTTGGATGCAGCTCTGCAGGATTTACCCTGACACTTTCTAAACAGACTGCATGAAAGAGATGTCTTGTCTGGGTTTGCTGGTTATCATTCTTTTTTTCAGAACGATTTCAGAAAAGACCATAAGCTTGTGACAGAGTGAATTTGTGATCTTATCCAATCATCTAGGCTGTTTGCAAAACTTCAGTAGGTGGCAGCGTTTTGTTGATAAATGTTTTGTTAGCCAAGTGATCTCATTTAGTGCAACTGTTGCAATATTAATAAACTGAACTTGTGATCGTGTTTGCCAGGACTGAAAATATTGCCATTCTATCCAGCGGGTGCTCTTATCTGAACTGACAGCAACATTCATTGTATTAGAGTTGGGGGGAGGGGTGCGCTGTGTGATTGTATGTGTGCTATTATAAGGAGAAAGTGATGGAGGCAGCGGAAGGGGCTGGGAAGGGATGCCGGCGGGGAGAAAGAGGACATAAAGGAACTGGGATGGGATACCTGCCCACACCTGGCTGATGTAACAAAGGCCTGGCTGACCCGAACGTCTGCTCCCTTCCTGACATCCTGGCCCATAGCATAGTGGCCCATAGTGACCTTGAAGGTGATCTCTGAGGTCCTAAGGTAACAGAATGGGGGTTACTGGCTCAGTGAGCAGCATCAATCCCTTGCAAAAACATGGAAAGGCCGAAGGGTCCGAATCGCCATAACACCAATGAGACCAATTCAGAGGGGTCCAGATGAGTCCCCAAGCTTCCCAGAGGAAGGGGGGATAGACAATGTCCAGTTACCACTAAAGCTAAGATAATTTCTGGCAGGCCTGTCATGACCAACTCAGAGGAGAAATCCCAGGGGGACCTAAGAAAGAGGGGTACAGCTGCTCCTTTACCAAAAGCCCCCATCTGTCTCTCAGGGTCTCCAATCTGACCCCAGCAATGACTCTCACCTCAACTTACTTCATTGCCCTACTTAAACAAACATTCCCTTGTAGATTATAATGACCTGACTGGTAAGCAGAATATTGGGGACACGAGAAAGTGTCCACTCAAAAAAATCTATCTTTACACTAGGAAGCTTATAGAATTGCCTAGAACAGCCTTTCAGGGTGATTTCTTGTGGAAATTATAAACAATGGGCCCAGAATATGCCTTTTATTTTCCCAGTTTCAGAACTTCACTCTTGCACCTGCTTGAGATGGCCTTTATTCTGGCAATGTCCTCTGTCAGAAAGACAAATTTCACAAAGAGACTGAAGTCCTTCCTGTGCTAATGGCATCTCTGATCACCCCAGCTGGAATGTACCACATTTTTTTTTTTTATGACTAACCACTGCAATTACTGCTATGTCAGCTCCATGGCTGTTCACTGCCTTGAAACAATAAGATAACTTGTCTTTGCTACAAACAGACTGTAACTTTTGAAAGCAGGGACCCTGTCCCATATGTTTCTGTAGACACCTAAGATGTGGCTCTTGCCTCATTTGCATAGCTTCCCCTTTATACCTTTTACATCATTAAAACACTGAGTGTGTGAGACTCTCCTTTCCAGACTGAAAGCATCTTGATATCCCTTACACCTAGTGCAGTGTCTGAACAAAAATGTCTTTTAAATTAATTAGTGATTCATTGATGGCTTTATATTCAAATTTATACACCAGTAAGTCTCACAGCTGTCAGAGAAGAACTCTTTCAATTTCCTTTTAGGTGAAGTCATTTCTCCAATATGCCAAGGTTATGTGTGGTTCTATTCCTCAGCAGGGATAGAGCCATACCCTCCATTTCAGGCAAGGCAGAACAGGATCCAGTCCTCTGAACAGATACTCTCATGACTAACTGAACAGATTGAAAGTTGAGCTTGTTCGTCTGTCAGATAATATAAAGTCATTTTCTTAACACCAACTAGCCACCTTTGTTGTTTCTATTTATGATTCCTTATCAAGGAGATGACCATTCACTTGAAGATGATCTCTCCCTTGCCAAGTCCTTCTATTAAAATCAATCAAAAATTTTGGAAGATATTGCAGCTGGTGACCCAGAAGAACATGTCTGTTCCCCAATAAGTATTGCCATGTTTCCACTTGGGATAAGTTCAAACTGAAGCCCCTTCCCTTGCTCGACCACTACTACCCAATATGAATTACTTTAGCAACACTGATTTATTAGTGAGTTCATCATGTCGGCTTGAGTTAGGCAAATTTAAGCAAGGGCCTGATCATCAATTTGTAGCAAGTGTCATTATTAAGTCCAAATATTTTTCAAGAATCCACTGTGAACATAGAATGATCTCTTGATAAAGATCTTACAGAGAAGGAAAAGATGTCATCATTCAAAGAATAGATTTAGATATAAGATTGTCTGAGCAACAATTATTGATAATCAAGCCATTTTTCTCTTAGTCATATAGTATGAGGCAGGACAGATGAGCAAAGAACTCATATGGCCTTACTAAATCCTTCCAATATACCTTCTAGTATCTTCAGAGATCTTTTCTGATAAAATCCTCACAGAGGTTTGGGGCAGGAGAACAAGTATCCTTCAACTTCTGTTCCACAAGCTATGAGGTTACATTCATTCACATAATATTGTAATAGAAATAATCAGCATTTCTCCAGTTCCAGCCACCCCCTCCACAAAACCCAAACACATATATGCATGTGCACACACACAAATATCCTCGCATCTGTAGAGATTTCTAAATGTACAAATAATAGGCTTACAATGAAGTTGAAAGTAGAGCTTTTCTTTGACAAAGATACCCTGGCTTGTACCTTATAGCAACAGAACATGATGGGTGATCCTGGCCCAAGTTTTGATTACATGACCAGACTCAGTTGGGACCAAGTCAAGATCATGGTTTCAAATATCTGCACTAACCAATAAAATCATGTTCATTCATTCTGCTTAAACTTTCAAACCACATTTCCCTGGAATTTTGCATGTAGGTTGACCTACTCAAAGTTCTCCTCAGAGTTATCATTAGTGTAAGTCAAGTTCCATCAGCTAATTGGACATCATAAATAGGGAATGCTCTATTCTTTTATACTTCAGCCCACACAAATCTCAATTGTTGAAACAAGTCTATAACTGCATTATGGACTAGACAAAAAGTACAGCGCAGAAAGTGTTATTCCCTTCTCAGTCATGGCACACTCCATAATTATGTCAGACTCAGCTGACTCGTCCCATAAAGTTGTATCCTCCTATTGTTAGCTCCTATGTAGTTGCACCATTATTGTTGGGGAATTAAAGCAATTACATAGTAGATAGTAAGCTGCTCTCTTATTTTTCACATTTAACAATAATTATTTAACAATAATAATTTAACAATAACGGAAGGTCTAGAATTCACATTGTGAGTCTGACACCAGTGGGCATTGAACATATTAGAAGTACACTTCTTAATTTTAGCATAAGGAGTAAGTTTATGAGAATGGAACTGATTGTAATAGTCAATGTGAAAAGTCTCACTATCTTCCTGATTAGTGATGAAGTCCTAAAATCTGACACCTAGGCGAGTTCTCTAAAGGTTTCATTATTTAAATCACTCATCATTAGAGCATTGGAAAACAAATGAAATTAATTCCATATCAGTATGGCTTATTTGTTTGGCATGAAGTGACATTACAAAATTCATCACAAGAGCCATTTCTCACTTCACAGTTGAGAGAAGTTGTTCAGCTGTCCTGAGTCCAAGGAGCCAGCTGAGCGATGTGCCAGAAGGAACAGTGGGCAGCAGTTTCAAATCTGGATACCAGCTCTTCCTTTCTCCCAAATTAGATGGTTTTATGCAAATCACTTTTCTTTTCTGGGCTCTGTTGTCTTACTAACAAGATGAGGCAAGACAATTGTTAAGGGTCTTCCAGTTTTAATATCCAATAAAGTTTATAAAATGCATTCTGTGGTGCTGATACAGCGAATCTAAAAGACTGTGGTTGACCACCAAAGCCCACGGGAGTTTGGGGAATATTTTCTGAACAGATATGGAATGCAGGATGATCAATTACCAGAAAGGTAAGGGGTTATTGGAGTCAGATGCATGAAGGGCTTGATTGAGTAGGTCAACGACCATGGGGAGGATTTCTAGCTAACACTTAATGATGAAGATTTTTAATGAGTCAAAATTTGTAGAATGGTGCTAATAAATGTACATGTGGCACCTGCTCTGGAGATCATTTGGGACAAATCTTAATTTCATTCACTCCTCTTCCAGTTAGCACAACTTTTAGTGATAGAATGTGTTTAGGGCAGAGTGGAATTATCACATGACATTTTTTACATCAATTTTTAATTTGCTGACTGTTTTCACTTCAAATTCAAATTCAGGACCACTAATCTTAAGTAGGTCCTAAATCCTACTAAAAGTCATTCTACTCTTCTACACAATTATTTTATAGCTCTGAAAAACCTTTACATTTCCGCCCTTACTTTCACCCTTATCTGGTAACTTTGCTTCCTGCACCAATGGAAAATGAAACTGGTACACCACTAACTGGTACTTCTACCAGCACTTGCCACTATGTCTGCCTGCCTACCAGAAGCAGTGCCCATCCACTCTGCCTCCTTCCCTTACACTCTGAGGACTCTGAGCTAAGTCAGATCCTCAATTTTTCCACTGTCATCCAACCCTCAGCTATATAAAGGCATTTCTCTAATAACTCTCTCAACTCTCAGTAATTTTGTCTGGTTTCCTTCCCCTCTCTTGGTTTACTTGGCACATAAACATTTGATTATTTCTATCACACCCCCCCCAACAAAAAACATGTTTTCGCTCTAATTTCCATTACCTTGCTTTCCCTTACAGCAAAACTGTTTGAAAGGCATCTGTGTTATTGTCTCCAATTCCTCACCTCTCATTCTCTCCTGAAATCAGTCGGTGACTCACCTTTACCACTCACTGCCCTCCACTCCATTCCAGGTGTTCCTTCCATATTGCTAAATCCAATCCTCAAATATCAGTTTTTATCTTAGCAGATTCTTCAGCACCTCCTCTTCTTTCTCCTTGAAATGATATATCCTAACTTAATTTCCACAATACCAGATTATCGTAGTTTTACAAATACCCCACTACTCTTTGTTATATATATATTTTCAGATCTTTGCAATGAGCTCTCTAACTTCTTAGTTCTTTGAATTTCTTCATTTATATATTATTATAATGAAACCCAGGTTTTTTTTTAATTGCCAACTGAGATTACCTTCCTTGAACTTCAGACTCAGATATTTATTTGCTTATCAACACTGTAAAGTATTACAGATTTGTTATATTGAATATTGAGCTCTTACCATCATTCTTCCAGCTGTTCTGCCAAAAAACATGTAGCTATCCATGACTCCTCTCTTTCTCTCATTTTCCACATGCCATCAGTCAAGAAATTCCATTGGTTTTACCTTCAATACATAACAAGAATAAAATCACTCCTGTTACCTTCACCACTGCCACCTTGACCTAAGCTAATGTCATATCTTAACTAACTTACAGAAATAGCCTTCCTACAGGGTTTTCTGTTTCCATATTTCCTTTTGAAAGACTATGGACGAAACAGCAATCTCACTGATTTTATAAGATAATTCAGAACAGATCATTTCTCAGTTTAAAACCCTCCAATGATTTCCCATCTCCAGTCCCATCTACAGCCTCCAAACAGCTCAGTAATGTGTCCCATTCACCATTAGTTCACTAATCCATCTTCTACTATCTCATCTTTGCTGCTCAGCTCCCACTGTCTGCCACACTGGCCTCCAAGGAGGGGCACTCCTGGACATGGCTGGCTCCAGGCCTTGCACCAGTGAGTCCCTTTGCCTGGGATCTTCCATCCACAGCCTACTCTGCATGTCTTTCTTGCAATTGCTCCGTTATCACGTAAGGTTACACAGCGTACTATTTAAAATTTGTAATTAAAAATCCACTCGTCCCCCTTGTTCCAATACCCATCCATGATTTATGTTTTCCATTACACTGGCGTTCTTCTGATTTAATGCATTTTACAAAGATATACTTTTGTTACTTTCCTCCATGAGAATGTAAGCTTTCCTGAGACTTGGAGTCTTTGATTTGTTGACTATTACATCCCCAGCAACTAAAAATCCCAGGCACAGAAGAATCAGTTAATATTAGTATCTGATTGTCTCCTACCCTGGAACCCCAAAAATACTGAGGTGTTATATTCAGGTATTATAGTTCATGGTGATTTTTCCCACTATAAATCAGGGAGCAGGTAGATGTGTGAAGGGACTAATATTTTCTTGTCCAAGTACTTACACATAGTGATTGTGTTTTTATTTCATTTTGTATAATGGAAAGACCCTAGATTTGAAGCCAGGTAAAAATGACTTTGAATTCGGGTCATGTTGCTTGTCAGCTAAATAACCTTCAGTCAACCTTCTGAGCCATCTGTGAAACTGACCTAATGAAGGAGTTTGCTACTCAAGGTTTTTGAGAAAATGACATGCAGTGACCTACAGGAAGCAGGTCACAGGCCAGGTACAAACTAGCTGCTCAGTAAAAGTCATCTTGAATGTCTGCATGGCATGAATTAGCAGGAGTGCTGAGGTGCCATAAGGTTCAGCACATGGTCTCTCCCCTTGAGAGCATCCCAAAAGAAACCTTAGAGGAGAAATTTCTGGCATCAGCAAAAACAAAGGGGGATTTTATTGGTGATGGAAAGGAAAGCGAAAGGCCCCTCCCACACCCCCCCCCACATTCCCTGGGAAATCACTCCCATCAGAACCCTCAGTGTCTACGCATCTCTGCACCTTAATAGAGCGAGAGCCTGGTTCAAGAACACAGCTGTGACTTCTGCACCACAGCAACGAACTGCCTTTGAAGATTAAAATCCTACTTGAATGTCCCCCACAGAGATCAAATTCCAAAAGAGAAAAAAGACAAAGCATGCAGGGAAGGGCTAGGACTAAGGGGGAGATGAAACAAAAACCGAGAATCATTGCTGGTGTAATAATTGCCGCATTAACACCTGAATGGCTCCCAGGCCTGCCCTGTGGCTTGCTCACTGAGAAACTTCAAAGATTGTAAATAGAATAGAAATGAGAACGCTTGACCCTAACAGTTGGTATGCACAGGCGGGGGCAGTGGGCATATATGGGCTCATATTCCCCAGCCCACACACGGGGAGAGACGTGTTCTAGACATCCCCCTTCCTTTAATAAGCCAATAAATATTGATTCTGACCTGGTCGCCACTTGTTCCCCTAACATCTTCTTTCATTCCAAGGCTTCTGGAAACTATAAAAAGCTAATTTCCAGATTCCTAGTCTGGCCAGAGAGACTCAGTTTTTCAATCAGATCTGCCAGAGGTCTGATAGCAATCATTATGAATGAGAAAAGACATTTTGTATTCTTAGCAGCTTGGTGGCAGGGAGGGAGCAGGGCTACTTGCCTAGTGAGGCGATGATGAAATTAAAACTCTCATACCTGCTATTGGCCCTGGAAGATCACAGAAAACGTGGGGCAAAAGTCTGACACCCAAAAAAGAGGGTCGGCGGCCACTGAAAAGCACGGTTTTCAGACCAAAATCACAATCAAGTTAAAAATGAGCCTCATGTCTTGCTGCCAGGGTGTTTTGTTTTTTTTTTTTCAGGCAATGCAGTTCTGCAGAACACGATTTTGAACAACATACATGGTGGCTGCATTTGAGTTTTGGAAAAGCGTATGATTGGCAGGAGACCCTTGACCTACATTTTGAAGTAAATTTTTTTTCCATTTCTCAGAGTGTCTCAGTAATCGATAGGAACATGTTGGAAAGCTACCGTACCTCAGCACTGCTGGAGCCGGTCATCAGGGCACCGGGCAGGAATTGGGACAGTTTCCTAACTCATGGAGGCGTCACTAATTGGAGAGACAAGACAAGTTGCATGCCTGGAGTTTTGGTTCTCATTATTTTGGGCCTCTGAGAATCCGGTGGCAGTTACTGAGCCCCATTTTAGAAACATTCGAATGTGCATACAATTCTCTAGGACGTGTTAGAGGTTTCACACTGGGCCCCTCTGTGGCCAGGAGAAGGTTAGTTTCCCAAAACACCCTTGAAACGTCCACTTTGGAAACATATATTTCAAGTTGAAAGAGTGTATTTTGCACGTTGCCTGTCACACCCAGTGGAACTCTGTCCTGTTGTAAATGCTGGTGAATAAAGAGAGGCACGGAGGAGCTTAGAATACCTGCAGGGGAGAGGACGGAAGGCAGAGTTCAGGACACAATGTGAGCACAATCGATGAGTGACTGAAAGTCCATCAGGATGCAAGCGGAAGTCCACAGACACATAGGGTTTGTCCTGACATGGACTGCAAAGAAAGGAGCAGATATTTTCACCAAATCATGTCGTCACAATGAGAGTGAGGGCATCTTGGTGGTAGGAGAGCAAATGGACACCCCAGACTTGAGAAGCAGGTAACAGTTGTCTGACTGTGCTGCCCAAGGGGTCTTTGTTTTAAGGATTTCTGGGGTGCCTGGAATCAAGGAAACCCCAAACACTGAGTGCTAAAAACCAGGCAGAAACCAAGGAAGTCCAGCTTCTGGGCAGTTTGGACCAGACCCTGGCTGCCCCACCCCTGTGAACCTCTCCTCCCACTGCTCTCCGTGTGTGACCAGGACACAAGCAAACGGCACTGGTAGGATGAATTCGACCTAGGCCTGCTCCAGGGGACCAGACACATACAGAGGACTGGCCCCCCACCGCTTCTGGAGAGAGGTGGCAGGGGAAGGAGGCATAAGAGCTTCCCTAAGAATTGCTCTTTCACAGCCACCACACAGGGCAGTTGCCCTGGTGGCGGAGGTGCTGGCAGGAAGTGGCGTGGTTGTCAGGAAGTTGTAACCAACATGTTTCTGGGCGATCTTGAGCAAGGTATGTAAGGAAACCTTCGTAGTCTCCTGCATCAAATGTAAAAATAAGGAGGATAAAATGTTTGGAGGAGATGTAATGAGATCACTCAAGAAAAGATTTTGCCTGGTTCCTCGGGTTTTCTCATGGCTGCTATTGCTGGTGTTCATCATTTTGACTGGGTCTGGGGACAGTACTGGACATCTATGGTATTTCACTTCAACCTCCAAATGGATCCTGTGTTCTACTGAAGACCCACGCAGAATGAAGAAAGAAAAAGCTGGTGCATCAACCAGAAGGGCAGCACGCTCACCTTGGCAGAAAACAAGCTTCTTCATTTCTTTCTTGAAGAATTCTCTCTTCCTCTGATTAGTCTTCCTTTTCTTCTGGTGCTTTCAGCCTTACTTCATGTCCCAACACCAAAGACATCTCCCGAACTTACTATTGCCCAAGCTCTGGGACTGCCTTTTCTTTTTTTTTTTTTGCCCCTCTTCACCCTCAAGTCTGGTTGCTCGCCCCCAGGATTCAGTCAGCTCCTCTACCCACAACTCCCTTGCCCCCGAGCCAACCCAATGAGCTTCTCTTTGCCCATTACTCAACCTGACATAGTTTAAAGTGTGTACATCTTCCTACCTTTCCTGAGCAGATGCAATTCACTCTGGAGAAAATTTTCCACCATCTTCTTTCCTATATTCCTACCCTGTGCCCAACACTGGGAAAGTGTATGTGGCGCAGAGGATGACTCAGGATTTGGGGAGTGAGACCCAGCTTGAAAGGAGGCAGGCCAGATCTCAGGCTGCTGCTTTATTCCATGAATCATGCCTCAGCTCCTTAATGTAAATAATGGGACACATCACGACCGATCAGAGCAAAGACTTTGACTAGTCCTTCTCACACTCATTAGACACAAACATATTCAATATCAAATTGCCATCATCTTTGTAACTGCATACTACTTACCACCAACAAGTAATTACAAAGTTTTCATAGATTCTTAAAAACTGCCTTAGACATCAAACCTTGCATAGTAAACTGACACAGAGATACTTTGTTGAAAGCAGTTCCCATCCAATAATGAAGGAGGGACACTCATCATATTATTTATGGCTAAAGACTTAGGACCACGATGTATGTTAATAACATTTCCTCCCATCTTGATCTGCCTAAGCACAGCCTTTTCTAAATCAGCAAAGACAGACACTATCAAGAACATATGGAATGCCAACCAAGACATAATCAGCAAGCCAAGGGAAGTTCTGGGTATACAAGGCTGATGATCACTCACAAAGATGTTGATGTCCTTATGTCTATTCATTTATCTCTTTAAATAAAAGGGCTAGTGGGGGGAGGGAAGTGGGAGGAAGAAGCCTAGGCATGATTAACAATAGGTGCAAGACAGGATGAGCTAGATTAAACTGTTCCATATGCAAATTATACAAGTCTGATTGCATCAAACCATGCACAGTTTAATGAGTATAGTAAGATGCCTTTATCTCTGCTTGGATATGTTCCTAAAAGGAAGACTGTTCCCAGATAAAGCACAATTTAATAAGGAGATTTTTCATTACAGAGTCGATGAGCATTTGCATATCTCTCCCTCTGCTTCAAGCCTTCTCTCTGTTCCACACCCTCATCTCTTTCCATCTCTAGTTCCTGTTTTTCCTCCCTCTGTCACATTCCCTCCCCTTGCACCCACCAGCCTGTCTCTGATCCACAAGGCTATTCTGATTCCTCTTTTTTTTTAATTGAAGTCAGTAAACATTTGCATGTTGTTGGCATATATTTTAGGAATGTGTATACTCAGTGCAAATTAAAGAGAGTCCTACACAGATGAGATTAAAATCTTTAAAATGTGATCTGAGCAGTTATTTATCTCAGAGGAATTTCAATTTGTTTAACATTGCCATGTTTTAAAAATTCTTTAATTGGTTATTTAAATATATCCTGGTAACTTGCTACTTATATTTTTTGCCTTTGTTTTTTATGGAATTGCCATGTAGGCTGACAGCACATGTCAAAAACACAAGCTTTGGGCTTTGAAGCCCTTCTCTACCACGTACTGACCTCAAATCTTGGACCTGTCACTTAACCTCTCTGCCCACATGGTTCTTACCTATGAAATAGTGTCAATCATCCCTATTCCTAGGACTGTTTCCGGATAAAAGTATGTAATGTACATAAAGCAATCAGCACAATGGGCACGTTGCTTGTACTCAGAAATGGTCATTGTTCTTCATAACACAAAAGAATTAAATGTGTAATATGTGACTGATGTCACTGCATGTGTGTGGTATATATTGTATATACAGACACAAAAATTAGATGTGCCTGTACATACATGTGTATGCTGATGTAATTAAACAGAACTACATGTCTTAGGATACCCTTCCTGGTCCAAAGAGAAATTTTGCACAGGATTTGGGAGGAAATGGACAGCAGCCATCTTGCTTTTAACTCTTTGAAAGTCCCAACAGAGCTTGGGATAGGATGGCAATTCAGATACATTGTCTCATTTTCTGTCTTCGTGAGTCAGCATGGGACTGACTTCCAGCTTGCTCACTGATGGCCCAGATGTGTGCCTTGTACCGTGTTGGAGAACTCCTCCATGGCTGAAGCTACAGGCTTGTATGTGGCAAGAGACCTCTATGAAGTTCCAGTCTATCCAACTTCCTGTCTGTGTCCACCATCTCTTCCTGAAGATACCAGCTGAGGACTTCAGCTCCCACATCAGACACAGAAGCAACAGTCTCAAAACAGGCCTTTACAGGTAAAGGTAAAATATGCATTTTCATATGCATATCTGTTGAGACACAGGATTTTGGATTAAAAGTAATTAATAATACATAAACACATCTAATGATCTAAATGAGATATTGCTGTGAAAATCACTATTTGGTAGATTACTGAGCACTACCTAGAAGTTTCGTCTTTATGTTCTTTATGTTTTCCCCAATATTGAAAACCCACTAACTGAATCATAAAATTAGTTAACAATGAAAATAAATTTGATGTTGGTAGATCTAGAAATGTCTTCATTATTTACTTCCTTTTTGATATCATATCTGCTGTTGTGTGTCTCAATAATTCATTGATTTGCATTGCTGAGAAATATTCCATGGCATGAATGTGCCATTATTTGTCTACCCATTTGCTAATTTATGAACTTTTAGGATATTTACCAATAAAGTCATAGTAAATATTTCTGTGCAGATATTTCTATGGAGATATACTTATTTTTTTCTTGGAGTAGAATGATTGGATTGTCTTGTAGGAGAGTTTTAAAATTTTAAGAAATTGCCAAAGTGGTTGCAAATTTTTGTTTTCACCAGCAGTTCATTCCTTTACATCTTTACCAACTTGATGTCTTCAGGCTAAACCAAGTCATTCTAACCCATATGTTGTGTATCTTCTATCCCTCTCCTAAACTAAAAGATGGGGTTATTGATTTGAGTTCTTTCTTCTTTTCTAACAGAAGTATTTAATGCTGTAGATGTCATCACAGTGCTACTTTGTATCCCAAAAATAATGAAATATTGTATTTTCATATTTTTCCTATCCAAATTCTTTTTAATTTCACTAAGGATTTTTTCTTTGACTCTTGGTTTATTTAGAAGTGTGTTGCTTACTTTCCAAATATTTGAGAATTTCCCATAGATCCTTCTGTTGTTAGTTTCTAATTTAATTCAATTGTTATCAGAGAACTGACTTTATTGCTTAACATCCTTTTAAATGTAATAAGACTTGTGGTTTTATGGCCCAGAATATAGTCTGTCTTGGTAAATGCTCCATGTGGACTTAAGAATATTGAATATAAAGTCATTGGGTGGAGAGATATAAATATCAGCTAGATAGAGTTGGCTAGTAGTGTTATTCAAGTCTTCTAGATCCTTGTTGGTTTTTTACTTGCTATTTCATTTGCTGAGAAAGTATGTAACGTATGTAAGGCAACCGACACAGACTTGGCACATTGCACATGCTCAGTAATTCTTATTACTCTGACAATAATTAAGGGTTCTATTTTTCCTTGCAATTTTATCAACTTTTGCTTACTGTCTTCTGGAGTTCTGTTACTGGCTGCACATGCATTTAGGGCTCTTTATGTCCTCTTGATAAATTGACTCCTTTCTTATCATGAACTAATCTTCTTTGTCCTTGATAATATTCTTTGTTGTCAAATATACTTTGATAATAATATAAATATTACAGATTTCCTTAGATTGTTGTTAGTATGCTACATTGTTTTCTGTCCGATTACTTCTAACCTATTTTTTGTCTTCTCATTTGAAGTGTATTTCTTGCCGGCAGCGTAAAGTTGGGTCTTGCTTTTGTATTTCATTTGACCATATCTGCATGGTATTTAAGGCATTAATATTTAATGTGGTTATCAATATGCTTAGGTTTAA